AAAAGAAAAGTTTGAGTTTTGTGGGGCCAGCAGGTAGCACGGTAGTTAAGGGTGCTGGACTCCCACATGGCCAACTGTGGTTCGAATCCTGGACCTGGCAGCTTGCTTTCTCACTTTCTCTCTCTCTCTCTGTCACTCTGTCCCTCTCTGGTCAAATTAATAAATAATTCTTTAAAAATATATACATAATAAAAAAGTTTTAGTTTTGTTTTTCACATTCAGTTTTTAAATCAATTGGATTTTTTTTTTTTTATTAACTGAGTCACTGTCAACACTTATTGTCATATTACACTTGCAGGTAAGGTCTATCTAGATCAATCTCTGATTATATAAATTTTCAAGTAGGTGTCTTGCCCTTCCTTGAACACCTTGCTTCCATCCGACTATAATCTTATAGGTGATAACATCAAGGTAGCTGAGGTCCATCAGTTAACACTCCCTCCATACATAGCCTCAATAAAATTGCTTTCTCCTTACTATGATTACTACCTCTTGTACTATTTGACCTATTTGTATTCACTTATTGTTGTAACTTCCCATTCTATTACAGTTAACTTCTGTGGTAGATCAAACACTTTAGTATTAGTACTAATTGACAGTAATATTTTAGGCTTGAGAGACATTCACTTACTCCTTGAGTATCCTTTTGGTGCAAGTCATGTTTGTCCTAGTCCATCTTGTTGCTAATAGGAAACACCTGAGTCTGGGCAATTTAAGAGAGTAAGAGGCTTGCTTATTCTGCTTACAGTTTAGCGGTCCAAGGCTCAGGGGTCCCACCTAGGAAGGATCTTTTCACTTCGTTAACAAAAACATGGTCCCGGGCAGGAGCATGTGCATCCGTGTCCATGTCTCTGTTCCAGTCTCATTCTCTCTCCTTCTGAACCTACCAGGAATCAATTGTGGGGGCCGTACCCTAATCCTATTTCCCAAAAGCTCCACCTTTCAACACCATAGTTGGATTAAGTCTTCATTCTCTTAATCCCATCACAGCCAAATCTTAGCAAGAATTTTTTAAGGCCATTCAAACCATAACAATATTCTTTTTTTTTTTTATTAATTTTTCTTTTTGAGAGGTTTTTTTGCTATAGGGTGCATGCACTCTCCAGAAAGACAGAAAGCAGGAAGTCATCCCCAGGGGGATGGCCACACTGCTATCCCTCCTCCTCCATTCTCCTCTCGGGATCTTGGGCATGCACGCACATGCGCCCGGTGTGAGTTTTAAGCCACCGGGTCCAGTCGACTACACAGGAGTCCAGAAACATAGCCATTACGCCAACTGCTGGTCCCCAAACCATAACGATATTCTATAGCTGATGTGTCTATGGGACATCTATGTGATGTACTTTTTGTACTTCTTGGTTTTCATAACCACTAATAAAGCACTCATTTGTTATTTTAAAAACTTGTCTACAGTTTTTATTTTTATTTTTTTTTTTTACAGGTTTTTGCGATAGGGCACGTGTGCTCGCCAGACAGAAAGAGAGAGACAGAAAGCGAGAAATCCCCCCCCAGGGGGGATGGCCACACCACAATCCCTTCTCCTCCATTCTCCTCTCGGGATCTTGGGCACACACGCACATGCGCCCGGTGTGAGTTTTAAGCCACCGGGTCCGGGACGTGAACCACGGTCGACTACATGGGAGTCCAGAGACATAGCCATTATGCTAACTGCTGGTCCCAAAACTTGTCTACAGTTTTATAACAAAGTAATAATGCTTTCTTTAGTCTAAAGGTAGAAAGCAGGTAGGTAAATTGTAAATAAAAACTACCCTTATACATTTCAAAGGACATAAAAATGAAGATGTTATAATAAACTTTTATTTTAAAATCCAAACATAATCTTTTCCATTTCAATACACAAGCATGCATGCACACACACACACACACATACAAATACATGTATACATAAGTTAAACAGAATCCACGAGAAATGTACATTTTTTTAACAAGAAAATCAGTTAGTGTTACTTCATGATTAGTCACACAGGGTCATGGACATTCTGTGTCCATGAGAACATTGCCGTCCTTGTCCTTCACTCTTATCCGACCAGATGGATACTTTGTTTCCTGATGACCATTGGTATATACGGTTTTTACAGTGCCATTTGGATACTCCCGTCTCTTGAACTGGGCAGTGTGTAGCTCTCTTTGACCATTATTAAACTCTATGATTTTGCTGCCATCCCTGTAAAATTTAAAAATAGAGTTCCTTAAAAATTTTTTTTTTTTAAATAAGAAAACTATTTTAGAATAGACTTTTGTTTCCCCTCTCCTAGAGGGTCCTTTTCCTATAAAATTGCAGACTCTTTCCACAGTGTTTCTGTTTCAGGGTAATAGTTCCACTTAGCTGATTAGTATTTACTTACATGTGCCCATAAAAAACTTGTTTTAATAAGTTTTTATTTCCACCAAAAAATGCTATTTCTTTTAACTTTATATGTGTTCTGCCTCTAAAACACAAAAACAAAAATTGGTCTTTGTATTAAAATATGGCTATTTTGGTAACAGCAGGTGGCATAGTGGTTGGGGTGCAGGACTCCTGCATGGCCAACCACATTCTGAGTCCAAGACCTGGCAGCTTAAAACTCACACTGGGCACATGTGCATGCATGCCCAAAATCCTGAGAGGAGAATGGAGGAGAAGGAATTGAGTCATGGCCATCCCCCCTCAGGGGCAATTTCTCACTTTCTGTCCGTCTGTCTCTTCAGCAAGCACACACATCCTATAGCAAAAGGTTCTTTTAAAAAATGGCTATTTCAGTTTTGGCCTTTTCTTCATGTTAAAACCCATCTGAGTGGGGCCAGCAGTTGGCATAGGGGTTATGTCACTGGACTCCCATATGACTGACTGCAGTTTGAGTCTTGGACCCAATGGCTTGAAAATCATGCTGGGCACATGTTGCGTGCGTGCCCATGATCCTGAGAGGAGAATGGAGAAGAAAGGATTGTGGCATGCCCATCTCCCTTGGGGGGTGATTTCTTTCTTTCTCACTGTTTCTGTCTCTCAGGAGAGTGCACACTTCCTAAGACAAAAATCTAAAAGAAAAAAAAAAAATCTGAGTACCTGTTCTATATTCAGTGGGGAAGAGAGCTGGGAAGGGACATGATCAGACTTTATAATCAGTTTTGAAACAACAGAGGAAAACAGCAAAATACGAAGACAGTACCAAGTACCAAGGTGATTGCTTGACATTCCTGTGAGATACCCTAATCGAACCCACAAATACAGGTATAACAGGCCATTAGAAACAAGAGGCTGGGGCTAAAGGCAGGGAAGCACCACTTCTGAATACAGACAGATGTGTGCACTGTGTGTTTCTTCCGCTATGATCTTAATGGCATCATACCGTTGTACTCTGACAATGGTCCCATCTGGGAAAATACTTTCTTCTTGTCCATCAGAAAATAAGTTTTTAAAAGTCTGGTCAGGAAAGGTGATTTCTTTTCTTCCATCTGGGAAATGTTTTTCTGTTTAAAAAAAGATTAACTATAAATATTTTTAAAGGAAAGGAAGAATTTATTAAGGACAGAGTAGAGCAAGTTTGTACCTATTTGTCCACTTGAGAAATGTAAGACTTCAAGTCCTTCTGGGTAGGTAGTGTGAGTGGTCTGGGCAGCTGCATAGTAGTAGATCTGTAAAGACATGAAGTTCAGTACATTTTTCTCCAGAGATGGTAGAGCTGCAGAGAAAACTGGCCCTGTGGAAACATACCACTCTCTCATCTGGCATGACTTGCTTCACATCACCATTAAAGAAAGTGACTCTGACTGTCTTCCCATCTGCACTCACTTCTTTCCGAGTTCCATTGGGAAACAGTATAACACGGGACCCATTCTTATAAACTTTTTCAACCTAAAAAGAAATCCATAAGATTATCAATCGCTAGATTTACTCCTGACACTCTGCCTAATTCTCCTCTTACTTGCCTACTTAGAAATTTTTCATAATAAAAAGTAAAACATTCTCTCAAAAGTACAGCAGATCCTTTGTTTCATCAGAGGTTGCAAACTAGTGATTTTCAAATTTTCTCATTCCTTTTTCATTTATTAGTTGAAATTCATCTAAAAATTTTTTTCTGGGATCAGCAGATGGTGTAGCAGTTATATCACTAGACTCCACGTAGTCAACCCCAGTTTGTGCCCCAGATATGGTGGCTTAAAACTCACGCCAGGTGCATGTGCCCAAAATCCCAAGAGGAGAATGGAGGAGGAGGGATTGCAGCATGGCCATGCCCCCTCAGGGGGTGATTTCTCACTTTCTGTCTCTCTGGCAAGCACACGTGCCCTATAGCAAAAATCTCTCAAAAAGGAAAAAGAAAGAAAACCTTTCTTCATCAATGATTTGTTACCCTAAAGTAAACTTTGTATAGGAAACTTCAACTACTTCATTGTTCTGTTCTTTGTCCTTCTCTCTCCCTCAAGGCTAGCAGAACTTTGGCCCTACAATTGCAACTAAAATGAATCAGATTATAGTGTATTTGAAAATGTAAATTTTTCATTAACCTGACATAAAATTCCTTCATCAATCACCAATAAACCCTGCATATGTTCCTCTTATTTTCATTCCCTCTTTTAGCCAGAACATCCAGCCATGCAGTGTACTCAAATCCTTTCCTACACACAAGAACAAACCTATGAAGGTTGGAGATGGAGAGAGAGATCCCTGTCCTAGAATAAATATAAGACCACAGGAAAGAAGGGCCTACAATGAACTGAGGCTTTTTAAAAAGTGCCAAGAATTTCAAAGACTTTTCAGCTGTTTGGAGCAAGAACAAAGTTTAAACAAAAGGACTACATTCCTTCTTTTGCCATTTCTCTAAGCTAGAAATGGCAACTAAATGTATGCTGTACACTGAGTATTTTAAAAGATCCCAGGGTTCCAGCTAGCAGATGGCATGAAGTTTAATTAAAGCAGCTGGATTCCACATGGCCAGTTGTGCAGTTGTGGTTCAATTCTCGTACTGGCGGCTTGAAAATTATGCCAGGTGCATATGCATGCATACGCAAAGTTCCAAGAGGAGAACAGAGGAGAAGGGATTGTGGTGTGGCCTTTCCAGTGCGGGTAATTTCTCACTTCCCCTTTTTTTCTCTGTCCCTGGCAAGTGCACAAACCCTATTGCAAACTTTAAATAAAGAGTCCAGGGGTTCAAGTTCCAAGGTCTTAAAGGTCTTAAGCGATGTCAGTGCTCTTAAAAGATCAATTATTTTAGAATCTAAGTATCAAAACTGTATTTTAATCCTTTTCTTTTGCCATGGGGTGCATGCACTTGCCAGAAAGAGACAGAGAGAGGGAAGATGAGAACTCATCCCCTAAGTATGACCACGCCACAATCCCTTCTCCTCCATTTTCCTCTTGGGATTTTGGGCATGCACACACACATGCCCAGTGTCATTTTCAAGCCTCTGGGTCTGGGACTCAAACCATGGTGAGCCATGTGGGAGTCCAGCACCTTAACCACTACACTACCTGCTGGCCCCTCCATAGCATTCATTATTTACCAAAAAAAAAAAAAAAAAAAAAAAAGTTAACCTTTCCATCAGGATGACTGATTTCTCCCTGAATTTTTTCTTCAATTTCTTCTTTTTCTTCCTTCTCTTTGTATTCAGGATCTGGGAAACTCACCAGTTCAAGTGGTTCCCTAGGCGAGGCAGCCTGTAGGACAAGACAGTTCAAGGAGCTATAAAACCTCCACTTACTTCCAAAACCCAGATTCTAATATCAAAGGGTTCTATGACTTTCATTTGTTGTTATATATAAAACATTTAAAAATGTTAAGTAAAAAGCCTTTATACATGGTTTAGAATCTTAAGTCAGTTAACAATTCATTTCAAATTTGAGTATTCTATGTTTACATATATAAAAATATAAAGAGACTTACTTGTCCTTTATCCAAACTGCCCAAGTCATGAGGAGGTACAGACTTGGATCTTCGAGACAGATTGCCTACTAGAATATCATTGTAGAATTAGTGTTGATATTCAATTAAAAACTTTAAATTTATTAATATGGTCACACACTTCCTTAGGTCATATTCTTTTGTGAACTGCTGTCCTTTATCCATTAATTAAATAAGTCAATACTTTTCTTTACTAATTTGCAGAAATTCACCATTAGCTAAGTTCAAATATTTATATATTACCTAGGTTTCTGGGGACCAAGATAGACAAAGACAAACTTGTTCTCAGAGAACTTACAATCCAAAGACAACATGCTCAAATAACCTAAAAGATAGACCCAAAGATATATTAATAGAGAAAATCACAAGGACTGTTTAGAGACAGAGTGACATCCAAGCATACATATAGAATTTTGCTTGACCAAATAAATAGGTATTTAGTTAAAACCACAGTGGCCACAGTCTAAACATTTTAGATCATGATCAGCACACCAACCATGTACTGTATCAGGAACACTTAGCACACCAACCATGTACTGTATCAGGAACACTTAGCACACCAACCATGTACTGTATCAGGAACACTTAGGTTATAAAATAAGCATACACCCCACCATGCACTCGTGCACACAAACCTACATGAAGTGAGGTGAAAATCTTTAAAAATAAATTCAAAGTGCTAATATTTTTTTCCTATATATTTTTCACTTCATTTTCTTTTTTTATTTCATTTTGTTTTGTACATTCAATCACATTTAGCTTACAAAGTAAATATTTCAATATGTGAACATTTCTCCCTAGTCCAGTTGATCCTGTTGGGATCTTCAGCACATATGCACATGCACCCAGTATGTTTTCTAAGTTGCTGGGGTTGGGATTTGAACTGCACAGTTGACCATGCAGGATCTAGCCACCTTAACCACTAGGCCATGAGGCCAGCCGAATGACTTTTTATTCCTTATAGTATCATTTTATCAACCCAGATTCTTTTTTTCTAGAGAATCTAGAGAAAGCACTCACCGGAGAAAGCAAGACAGAGAGGGAAAGAAAGCTCCTACTCTTCATTGTCATGCCACAATTCCTTCTCCTCCACCTCTCCTGCCTCTTGGGATTTGGGGCGTGCACACAACATATGTGCCCAGCATGTTTCTTAAGCTGCAGGTGTGAAACTTGAACCATGTAGTCATCTATGTGGTATCCAGTTGCCTTAATTAACCACCTGGCTGTGGAGCTGCCCCCAAATTCTTATTTAATGTAGTTTAATTTCAGTTTTTTCCTTTATAGATAGTGCTTCTTAAATCTTTGCCTGTCTTTAGGTTGTACTTCCTGTCGTATTTATATCCAGCTATTCCAGCATTATTTAGTACCTAAGGTTAATTTTCCCTCACATTCATGTCATGTACTTTGTAAAGTGTATGTATATAAACTTCCAGACTGTGGACTTGTACCCGGCAGTCAAGTCAGTCTGTGCTGCCGGTCATCTCTCCTTATTCCACCCAGTTGCTAGATACTTAGAAGATTCAGGTTAATGTTAGCTCACAGTCAGCCTGAGAGAGAATTAAACCTGATCTGTAATGGGCTTGCATTTTGATTTTTGCCTTTTATTAGTCAAGAACCTTGGTAGGTTATTTAACCTTTCAGCTTTGGTTTTCTTACATACAAAATGGCAATCTTAGTCTTTTTTTCTGGAGGTGGTTTGTAAGATTAGAAATGATATAAGTAACACAGCTCCAATTGTATAGTTTCTCATGGGTACCAGTGAGGCGGAGGATGACATTCCTCCTATGTGGTGCAAAACAGAGCACTCCTGTTAGCCCAGAACTTGTTGACTGTCTACCCATTTGCTCAAGCCAAAACCTCTGTGTACTTCCCAGTTCCATTTTCCTTACCTTCTGCTCCCATCGATCCCTACACTAATCCTTCTGATGTTATTTTCTGAATCTAATAATTATGTTTGAACCAATAAAATTGTTGACCATTGGCAATTTGGGACCTATAACTCAGTGATCTCACTTGGTCATTTCTGTTTCTGTGGGTACCTCACAGCCTCCTGGCTGATTTCCTGCCCGTATTCTCCAGTTACTCTCCCAGGGCATCTAGTGTCCATTATACTTGTTGACATGTAAGTCAAGGTCTGGCACTTGCTCAAAACCCTTTATGAGGGACAACAAAGATAGCGACAGGAATCACCAATTACCGAGAAGATCTCAGGAAACAGACTCGACAATTGGAAAATGAACTTGACCTGAAACTCGTTTCCATCAGTAAACGATGTACAAGTTATAGTCACAGCAGTTACCAAGATGAAAGACGCAACTGGTATAGTTCTGACACAATACCCCTTTTGAATGGATCAAGCCGAGACAGTGCTTGAGACAATGGCAATTGAGATTGAACAGCTGTTGGCAAGGCTTACAGAGGTAAATGATAAAATGGCAGAATATATCAACAGTGCAGGTGTCCCCTCCTTGAATGCAGCTCTAATGCGTCCATTACAGCGACATGGAGACATATTGCAGGATTATACACACGGATTTCATAGAACCAAGGCAAATTTTATGACAATACGGGAAAGGGAGATCTCATGGGACCCATACGAAAGGATATTGATTTATAGACATAATGTAAGAAAAGAATAATAGGCACAGAATGCCACCAAGGTAGAAATTAAGGGGAATAACAGGCACAGCGGTTTTGATTATATTCACCATGATGCATGTGTTAAGTTGGGTATAAATTCACTTTTTTTTTTTTTGAGAGAAGTTTTTGCTATAGCAAGTGCTCTCCAGAGACAAAAGAAAGTGAGAAATCACAACCCAGAGGGAATGGCCATGCTGCAATCCTATCTTCTCTATTCCCCTCTTGGTACTTTGGGCATGCACGCATGCCAAGCGTGATTTCAAGCCACCAAGTCCAAGACTTAAACTACAGTCAGCCACGTGGGAGTGCAGCACTTTAACCATCACTGGCCCAAATTCACTATTCATGTTCTGAAAATGTTTTTTTTTAAGAGGTTTTTGCTATAGGGCGTGTGCACTCGCCAGACAGAGACAGAGAGGCAGAAAGAGAGAAATCACCCCCCCAGGGAGGATGGCCACACCGCAATCCTTTCTCCTCCATTCTCCTCTCGGGATCTTGGGCACGCACACACACACGCCCAGTGTGAGTTTTAAGCCACCAGGTCCGGGACGTGAACCACGGTTGACCACATGGGAGTCCAGCGACATAGCCATTACGCTAACTGCTGGTCCCTGTTCTGAAATATTTTTATGAAAAGATCAGTGCAGCCTCTTCTTACCTTGTGTTGGCAAATAATTTTTCTTGCATTTTTCTACTTGAGTTCCTGAAGAAATCTGATTCTTCTGAAATTGAACAGATGGGTTCTATGGTATGGGAGAGAATTTAAAATATAAAATCCGTGTTAGTCTGCAGAACACTTCAGGCTCAGCTGCCACCAGGCCTCACCCTGGCTTTCACCCACAGGCCATTCCTTACATGCCACTTCCTCAGTAATTCCTGCCAAGGCCACCACAGTTAACATTGCAGCTCCCTACAGCCCAACAGCCAGGTCCCTGCCTGGCTTTTTCTCCTTAGCTCTTATCACAATCTCACACACTAAATATCGTATTTATGTATTGTCTTCCTCTAGATCCATGAGGGCAGGGAGTTTTGTCTGCTGCTCACTGCTGTATCCCCAGGGCATAGAGCAATACCCAGCATACCCTAATTATTAATCTAGATGCATGAAAGACAAATTACTTGATTAAAAAGAAGTCTGTGCATTGACTCTACAGAAACTTCCTTTGATCTGTTTTAACTCAGATTTTTATCTGCACATAGTGGTATACCCCTTTATAAGAATCATAACATTGAATTTAAAAAGTACCTATATATAGGAAAGCTTTAAAAAATTAAAATAATGGTCAAACACACATACAATTCACCACCTTGACCATTTCTAGTATACAGTTCAGTGGCATTAAGCACAGTTATATTACTGTGAACCACCACCACCATTCACCTGCAGAACTCTCTTCATCTTGCAAACAGAAACTGTCCCCATGGAATGACTCCTTATTCTGTCCTCACCCCAGTCCCTGGCACCTGCCATTTTACTTTCTGATTCTAAACACTTAACTGCTCACTTATTCAGCATCATCCCAGACTTGGCCAAACCAGCTGCCAAGCCTACCATGGACTCGTCCTTCCTCACTGCAGGCACACACTGGCCCACCCTGGGGCTGTTCTCCATAGCTGCAGCTTTCTTCCATGCATCTAGGCGGAATCTTTCCATTACTTTTATTTCCTCCCGGAGGTCTGTGTTCTCTCTCACCAACATCTCGATCTGGCTTCGGAGACGACCTTGTGTGCTTGACCATTTTGCTTCCTTCCTCTTCAAATCTTCCTGTAAATCGGCTATTTGCTGTTTCAACGCCTCTCAAAATAAATAAATAAATAAATAAATAAACAAACAAACAAACAAACAAACAAGAGAGAGAGAAGAAAAAGCATTGCAAGAATTTAAACAACAGAAGAAACTAAACACATTAATGAAACAGAATGTCTAATCCAAATGGACAGCAGAAAAGGTAGGGCTCAGGTAACAAATGACATCTCAAAACACTGGCTTGGCTGGAGACGAGTTAGAGGGTCAGGTTAGACCTCCCCTCAGACCACCAATAAAACCAATCATGAGTCAAGAGAAAGGAAAGGAGACACCACTCAGGACACACAACTTCCGGTGTTATAAAATACAGAAGGAAGAATGTGGTTAACAACAACTTACTACACATCTCGGTCATTTAAAAAGAGGATTTTGAACTTTCCCAACTGGAGTAATGACAAATAGTTGATATGATGGGTATGCTAATTATCCAGATTTAATCATTACACATTGTCTTCTTGTACTAAAAATCCACGCTGTAGTCCACAAATATCTACAATTATTATGTGCTAATTGAAATAATTTTTTTAAGAAAGAATTATTTTAGATGTACTAAATGAAATAAGGGAAAGGAAGTATCTAGAAGCACCATACAGATGTACACATAGAAATCAAGATGAACAGACAGAAGCAAGCAATCTTCCCTACCACCTGAAACCCACAGCTGAGGGGCCAAGGGCAAGGGGAAGCTCGGACTCCCTCAGCGATACATGCGGAAGACCTGACTGTCCACCACAGGTAAGCCACACAGCAGCCACTAGTGACAGGAAGAAACCAGGGCTCAAGGCCTCTCCCTCAATGGCCACAGCACATAGCACAGACTGGGATCAAGGCTCTCATCCAGTATTGAGCCTTGAAAGTCTTGAAACAGGCTTCAGAGTTTTCCCTAAACATCAGCTTCCCTATTTTGAAAATTCTAGACTTATCCAATAAATGAGAACTATCTGGCAAGCATTTTTATAATATAGGGAAGTAGATGTAGTAATAGTAAAATGGTAACATACAAGTCTCAATGGGTAAGAAATCTACAGCAATTAGTATTTTCTAAGTGTCAACTCTCAGGCACTGCTTACAAAGCACAGAACACAGGTCCCTGCCCTCCTGACACTTACTCTCAGGGAACATGTGTCACAGGGTGGCATGAAGTAGGCAAGGGCGATGGGTCCATATTGGCTGGAGGCAAAGGACAGAATGTGAGCCACCTGGCACAAGCATGGGCAAGCAGCCAGTGGGGGACAGATGGACAACAGCAAGCGAGATGTTAGGAAAGGCCAGACTGGAGCATGAAGTTCTCATAGAAAGGAAAGACGTGGAGGAACAAAGAGTCTGGGCAGAGCGTTGGAGGCCTACTTCCTTAGAGAAAGAAGCCACCAGGATGTCTCCATTAACTCAGGGCTGGCAATTTGAGTCTGGGCGGATTTTCTGATACAACAGCATGGAAAATAGAAGAGAACCCTTGAGAATGATTCCAGGCCTCTGGTTCCAGCCCAAGGGAAGTCGGTAGTCCACCTGTAAGGGCACTGAGCTCAAAGTGTCTATTAGCTGGGACACACCAGATTGGCCAGGGTAGTCCAGGCTGGGTGCAAGGCAGGACCAGTCCCACACTGCACTGTCCAATGTGCAGCCACCAGCCACACGTGGTCATTAGGCTTGGAACTGTGGCTAATGTGACTAAGAACCTGAATTTTAAATTTTCTTTATGTTTAGTTCATTTAAATTTAAACAACCACACATGGCCAGTGGTTAGCATCCTGGCCAGCACAGCTTTAGAGAATAAGAGGATATGTAATTTGAAGAAGAGCTACCAGATTGCAATAAATAAATAAATAAATAAAACCCATGAGTATTCACATAATAAAGTGGAACTACAAAGAAAAAGCTCCTCTGCTCTGGGTGAATTACATTGGAAAAAATAATGAGGACCTGAGCTATGAGAAAAAGAGGAAGAAGGAAAAAAAATCAATCACTCTCATAATCTTGGATGTCTGAGAAGGTTTTTATTGTTTCCCCTTTGGGTCTGGTAAGATTTTCATAACATAACAAGGTATCAAACCAAGTACTGAGGTAGGGCAGCAGAACAGTGGTAAAACTCAATGCTCTGCAAGGCTGACCCTCAAGGGAACGTTGCCAGTTCAGGTCTAGCGTCCTCCCTGAGTACACTGGGCATACCTGTGCCCCTTCGTCAGGCTGGCTGAGCCTGAGGTGAATTTCAGCCTCAGGCCTGCCCCCCCACCCCGTCTCTGTCTCTCTCATGGCATAAATAAATCAACTTTAGGGGCCAGCAGATGGTGTGGCAGTTACATTGCTGGATTCCCACGTGGCCAACTACGTTTGAGTCCCAGACCCAGTGGCTTGAAACTCACGCTGGGTGCGTGTGCATGCCCAAGATCTCAGGAGGTGAATGGAGAAGGGACTGTGGTGTTTTTCACTTTCCCTCTCAGTCTCTGCTCTCTCTCTCTGATGAGTGCATGTGCTCTAAGACAAAAACCTCTACAATAAATAAACTAAACTAACAGCAACAACAACAAAAGGACTGCAGTAACACCGGGAGATTTAGAAACAAAAATCAAACAGCAAATCCATTATGGAGGTTTTTGTTTCAGTTTGCTATAGGGCATGGGCACTCAATGGAGAGAGACAGAGAGAGTCAGAGACAGGGGAAAGTGAGAAATCACCTCCCAGGGGGGATGGTCACACCATAATCCTTTCTCCATTCTCTTTTTGGGATTCTGGGCATACACACGTGCCCAGTGTGTTTTTTCAAGCTGCAGGGTCTGGGACTGAAACCACACAGTTGGCCATGAGGGATCCAGTCACCTTAACCTTCACACCACTTTCTGGCCTATATTATACAGGTATCTTAGAATAGGCCATGGTATTAAATTTTGACTATAGGGACCAGCAGTTGGCGTAATAGCTACATGGACTCCCATGTAGTCTGCCGCAGTTTGAGTCCCAGAGTTCGCAGCTTAAACTCACGCCAGGTGCGTGTGTGTGCGTGCCCAAGATCCAGAGAGGAGAATGCAGGGGCTGGATGAGGGTGCTGTGGCCAAACACGATGCTATACAAGGCTGATATGGGAAGGTTCTAGGCTCTCGTCCAGAGAACTTCCTGAGTATACTGGGTCATGATACAGGGCTGGCTAAAGTCGGAGTGGGTCACAGCATCAGAGCCCTGGTGGGGATGCCTGTCTCTCTGTCTCTCATAAAAGAAATAATAAACCTTAAAAAAAAAAAAAAAGGGGCAACATAGTATATGGTAACTTAGGTGTGCTGATGAAGAGTGCTCAAGGATGGTGCACAACAAAGGAAGGAAAGGAGCAAAGAATGGAACTCAAAAACACTAGTTTAAAATATGGAAAGTGGAAGATGAGTTTGCATTATTTGTGAGAAGTAACAAAAAAACACTTAAAATTTTCTTTTGATAAGGTTTTCACTTTTATGAAATTCAACAAATCCATTTTTCTTCTCTTCAGAGTTAATTTTGGGGCCAGCAGATGGTGTAATGGCTACATCGCTGGACTCCCATGTATTCAACTGCAGTTCAAGTCCCGGACCCAGTGGCTTGGACTCATGCCCGGCACATGTGTATGTGTGCCCAGAATCTTGAGAGAAGAACAGACTGTGGCATGGCCATCCCTCCTGGGGGTGATTTCTCGCTTTCTATCTCTCTGTCTCTCTCTGTCTTTCTGGCAAGTGCATGCGCCCTATAGCAAATACCTCTCCAGGAAAAAAAAAAAAAAAGTTAGTTTTGTATTTTCCCTTAGAAATTACTGGGCCAGCAGGTGGCATGGAAGTTAAGACAGTTAGATCCCATATGGCCTACTGTAAGATTTCAGTCCCAGACCCAGCAGCTTGAAAGTCACTTTGGCTATGTATGTGGGCATGCCCAGGGTCCTGAGAAGAGAATAGAAGAGAGGGGATTATGATGTGGTCATCTCCTCTGGGGAGTGATTTCTCTTTCCCGC